CACGGTAGATAATTATTTGACCGAAATCGACACCTATCTGTGTGTATCTCCGAGTAATGTGCTATGATGAATGTTGCAATTGAGTATGATGATGTTGTAAGAATGGTTCAATTATTTTGTGTGATGTACTACATGATAATGATGATGACGATGGGTTATATTGCTGTGGAATTGATGGGTAGGAATATCAATGTATTTTACGTTGTTGCATGTTGGCGTCGCATGCATTCATGATAAAAGCTTATGCTCTGTAAGATAGCTTGTATTGGCGAGAGATGGCCTGTATTGGCGTGATGATACGGGCTTATGCCTTGTTGCTGCCTTATTCGGTACTATGATGAGCGCTTATACCCTGTTGGTACCAAATGCATTGAGTCAGTGTCGGTTGCATTGCATTACAATATTATTATTAACTTGATGTTGTAATATGTGGATGATGCATGTTGAAGTTACATTGGGTAGATGATGTATGTTGGCGTTGTATCATGTTGAAGTTGTATTTTTGATATGTCGATTTGATTGTAGTTATATTATGTAGATGGTGTATGGATTATATTATGATTGATACTATGTATTATTTGGATTATTGATTGTATTTTGATATGCCTTGTGATTTCTATAAAAGGAAGTAAAGGTGTGAGGTAAAGAAGTATGATTATGTGTAATTATATTGTTATCTACTTATTATTATGCATTCTTTAATATGGTTATGATATCTCACCCTTCTATTTTAATGTTGCTTCTACGTGTGTAATATGAATATGATCTGAAGTAGCTTGAGGTCGAAGTTAGCTGAGGAGTTGCCTCATTTTGCGTAGATTGAGTCGGTGTTAGCTCTGCTACGTAACACTTGGGGATTTTGCTCTTGTTTTGTTTATGTTGGGAGTAAACTTTTGTAAAACTCCATTTTTTGGAATTAATTAATGTTTTACGATGATTTTTGAATTATGATAATTATAACTCATGTGAAAGAATTGAGAAAAATTGTTATTGATGTTTTTCCGCTGCGAATAAATGAAAGATTTTTCAGACATGAAAAATATATGGTTTTTTATGGTTTTTTTTATAAATGTGTTACGTATTTCATATTGATGAGCATGTGTATGTACGAAGGCAACATCCTGAATATTGAAATGTTTTAAATTCCTTTGAATTTTATTTAAAAACTACACGGGGGATTTAGGGTGTTTAATTGAAAGAAATTTGAACTCTATATTTTTGAAATCCCCAAAAACGACGCGAAAAACTTGATCAGAAAAAAAACAAGTGTACTATTTTTGTCTCTTGTAATAATCGGGAATTCCCCCCGAATGTCGATCTCAAGGACTGCGTGCAAGTATCGAGTTCAATTCGTAGTTCAATTAAACAAAAACTTAAATTGGGGTTTTGTTTGGTTATTGTCATTGTAAAACAAGCATAAATATAAATTGGCTTTTTTGCAGGTATGAGGAGCATGCTAGAGTAAGGTGTATAATTAGTCCTGTAACAACCTTGAAGTTTGATTTCTTCAACAAGTTCAAAATACTCAATTATAGATCTTTAGTTTATTTCCCCCTAAGTCCTTAGTGAGAAAACCTTTGAGCCTTCACCCTAAATTCGAAGTCCTTAGAGATTTATGATGAACTCAAGCATTTGTATTATCAAGAATTAACCGGTAACTATAGGGTATCCTTAGTCCTAGGTGTATATACTATAGTTTAGTCGTACAAAAACCTTAGCAACCGCGATCCATCATATTGTTAATTGTAAATAAATCCTTATTGGACTGACAGGGAAGGCATTAAAAATATTTTATAATTAAATTAAATATGAAAAACTATTGCATTAAAGAAATTCGAACTCAAGGTTGTTTACAGAATAAATTAGGGACACCCCCTAATATTGGGGGGTTTAGCTACTCATAGTATTCCAAGAAAACAAAATATAAAATTGAGACATTACAAGTATTTGGATGAATTTGAATCTTCTATCCTTTCCGTTCATGAAGATTTTCCTCCACCAAAACACTTGAATCCTCTAATCTTCTCTTAAGTCTTCTCTTCTCTTGGTGTCAAAAAGTCCCTTCATTCCTTGTGAAAACTCAACTAAATAGCCACAATTCATTCAGATCGGTCGGAAGTACCCAAAAATCCCTCACAACTTAGCACATGGACAAAATAGGAAAAAGTCAAGAAATCAGCACCACAGGCCAACACGGACCGTGTCAGGCAACACAGCCACTCGTGTTGGCCCTTAAAACCCCACTTTTTCTTTTAAAGTCCCAGGAGGTGCAACACGGCTCATGTCAGGCGACATGGCCACCCGTGTTGGCCCCTTGGATTTCCACTTCTTCAAAGTGTTCCCCCTGACAAGGTCCGTGTCAGGTGATACAGCCACCCGTGTTAGGCCTCGTGAAACATGATTTTTGTATTTCCTCCGAAACTCTGAGTTTTGCACCTTTTCACACTAATTTGTCCTGATTTATTCCTTTGAGCCTAAAAACAGTAAAACACACAACCAACACATAAAATGTGGAAATAAGAAATAAAATGTTTGACAAAATCAAGAAACTATAACTTAAATCAATGGAAATTAACTATGTAAAAACCACTGGTCATACATTAAATAGAGATTGATAAATCAGAAAAACTATGATTGGTTCTCCATCTAGTGATTTATTAAACTGCTGGATCAATTATATTTACTTTCTACTAACCTATGGTTGAGTTTGATGTTGTTTTGGAGAAAAGTGGTACCAAATATAATATGCCTAGAGTCCTACATTAATCAAAGGATCAAGGAGGATAAAAATAAGGTATATAAGACAAGAAATTTGAGAAATAATGAAATCGACAACAAAGTCCACTCTCAACTCATAAAGCTTCAAATATTCTATTAAGAATATTTGCAAAGCCATACTTATCAGTTGATTTCAAAACTCGATATTACCTTACTTGGGGAGAAATGAGATTTTATATCTTATAACCTACTCTGGACTTCTACCGTTCATCTTTATAAGGTAACTTTTTCCTCTTACATGTGATATATGTGCGTCAATTTTTTTACTCCTCTACTAAATAACTATAATAACCTTGTTTTGCATAGTTACCCTTGTTAAGTACACCTTAAATGTGACGAGAAGCAAATATAATTAGATATATTACCTCTTGTTTAAACCTTGTCTTGCATATCTTTTATGACAAACGTTTTATGTCATGTTTGAGTATAGTATACAAGAATGTTTTTAAACTTCAAATATGCAAAGAAATATATCATATTTTGTTAAGAGTAATATCTTCCCTTGTCACAAATACCCATTCCATACCTATGTTTCATGATAATAGTTTACTTATTAAATCTTTACTTTACATGAAAGATATACAATATCTTATCTCATGTCTGCTAATCATTGTGTTTCATAAATATTTATATCTTAAATGCATATGTTATACTTATAAAAACGTAAAGTTATATGATGTTTTTAAAATTAAACATGTTTGCATATTTGCATCTTTTACCCGTCTTTTTTATTTTGACAAAGGAGAAGTAGTATACTCTCAGGAGGAAGATATCTATTTTATCTAACTCGAAGAGAGTTTTATCACTCCAAATATATCATGTTTCTTTTACCATCTTCCTTGAGAGATGCGTTGTCATCATCAAAAATGGGGAGAATGTGGAGTCTTGTTTTGAAGGTAATAGACCTTTAGTAAAGACCAACGATTAAAATTTTAATGACGACAACGCATGAAGATCTATATGTGCTTACATAAGAGGGCTCAAGATAAAAGTGCATTTTCAATCGATATATCTAACAAGAAGTCTTGAAGTCTCTATGAAGAAAGTGGTGAAAGCTCTTCAGATCTTGTTTGTTGGTTTGTTTGAGTGAAGTGAGTATTGTAAAAATAAGATAGTAGCTTAAGAGTACTAAGACAAGTCACACACACACCAAAATATTTTTTATCAATAGTAAACTATTTCAAAAATGCCTTAAAATTGTACCAATTGACCTAAGAGCTGAAGAAATGACTTTAGAGAAAATTTTGGCCTATTTAGTCTATTGTCTAATCGATTAGATTTGCCCAAACTTACGCTCCAAGATATTTGATCAACGCCTTAAAGATATACAACGGTTCTATATCACAACCTTCCATTTTGGACATCATAACGATCATATTTAGACTTTCTAATCGATTAGACCAATCGATTAAGTAATCAATTCAGCATATGGATCATTTCTTTTTTTGGTGATTCTAACTACTATATAAACGGAGGTCTCCCTCACTTGAAATCATGCCACTTTCCAACGTTTTCATATTTATTTGAAATTTATCTCTCTAACTCATCTCCTTCTCTCTATAATTTCTTCTTTCTTCACTCTTGGTTGCCTTTGTGTTTTGGAGTGAAATTTTATTTGTGAGGAGAATATTAGTTTTGTAAGTGGTTGTGTTGATTGTTTATAGCCTTAAGGGCGAGATACCTTTAAGAGATTGAGTTTTGATTATTGAGATCAACCATAAATATTTGTTATTTGTTTATTAAGTTTATCCTGAAAAAAACTTCGTTCTTGGTTTAAAAGATCATCCATAAATCTCTAAACAATCTCACTAGAATAAGTTGGGATAAAAGTAGTCAATAGATTGGGAAAAGGCTTGTTTAATCAAAGATCAAATTATATTAAGGTTCGTGGGCATAACCGATAAAAACTCACAAGTCTATATTGAAAAATCTCAAGAAGAACTCTTGGCAACAAGACTAAGTCAACATTATGCCAAATCCGGATAACTCTCTTGTACAATCTTTCTATCCTTACTTTCTTTGATTTTCTGCAGTTTATTTTATTTACTTTACTTCCGCTATGATTTACTACTCAAAAACATTACTAACACGATCTTAATTGAGAAAGAGAAAAATTATTCACACTCTTCAACAACTACAATTCAAACACCCTCTTATGCTTGAAGTCATCTGTTTCAACAATACAATTTTAAAGTACAATAGTATTTGTTGAATATGAAACACTAATCTTCTAATGAAACATTCTCTTCATCAGCGTTAATTTTTTTAAGAATCACAATTAAGGCCACTATAAATGCATAATCAACATTAGGATAAACTGTGACTATGCAATAGTCTTTACCAATCAAATTACTCTGCTTTGTGTGCATCTGCAATAACAAAAATTGATTTATGCTTAGCACTACTACATAGTTAAGTGAAAATTAAACATAATGAGAGTAGTTATAGTTAAAACTAATTAGTAATTACCATAGCAACAATGTCGTTAGATTCACCAGCATAAACTTTGCAAGATTGCTTCAACCAACTACATTGGATTTTAAAATCACAAACATGTTTTTTTGTGTTACTAGCTAAATACACATCTAATTTGGTTGTAAACTGAATTAGAGAGGATCTCTTTAATGTAAATATAAGATCTTTTTTATCTGTACTTTCACCCCTATAAGCTTTCCAACGATCATGCATAGTCACTATCTGCACCATATAAGATTTTAAGTATTGTTTTTTATCTGTTAAATGAAAGAAAGAAAAAAAAGAAAAAAAAGAATAAAGGTGAACCTTGCGACGCAAGGTAATGATCGGATATCCGGCATCATCAAGCAAAAGACGGCGATCTTGTAGGGTAAAGCGAAAACCCTTGACTTCAAAAACGACGTTGCCGTTGACATCTGTAACGGAAAAGTTTCCATCTGAAGTGGTCATAAGTTTTTTCACAACCGTAAGATCAAGCTGATACGGAGCACAATATTGAGGGCCGATTATGGTGGCCGGGAGTGGCAGCATCGGCGCCGAGGCATCGGATTGTGGTTGATAGGGATAAGCCATGATGGTGATGATGATGATGATGCTTGCTCTTCAATTTTATTTTTGTGATGTTATTAAAGTCTTGTTTGTGATGTTATATAATAATTTGATTTTATGACTAACGAAATTACAAAGAAAGTATAGATAGGAGGGAACGAGAAAAATACTATAAAAATATATGTTATGAAATACCACGAAGGTGGTTTGATGTTAGAAAATACAGTAATATATTATGACGGCGTTTAAATGTCAAATTGATTTTTTTTTTCTAAGATACCAAAGACATCGATGTGTATTATTGAAAATGATATATTAATTTTGTTTGAAATTTTTAAAAGTCAAATTGAATTTTTTTTTTGGTTCTGAGATACTAAATACATCAATGTGGTTTGTGGTAGACTTAATTTAGGACATGTACACACGTACAAAACTCTAGTTTGATAATAGTGGTGATAGGCCAATAAGAGTTATAGCGTTTTGTATGAGTTAGAATGGAATGAAAAGTCTATGTTGAATATGTGGTGATTGTTAGTTTTTAAAAGGTCACTCCTATCACTACAAGAAAAGTGTGATTTAGTTTCAAAAAAGTTAACGTCAGTCAATTTTTTATGCTAATAACGTCTATTTAGCATTCAATTATTCAAACACAAATGTTTTTTTTTTTTGTTTTTTTTTTTTTACTTTTTCAATTATATAGTATGTAGTTTTTATTATCTATTTGTATAATAATTTACTTTTTAAATTATACAATACTTTATTGGCAATTTGTGTTGTATCTATGTTGTATCTTTTCTTGACATATCTTAACTTGCTATTGTGCAGCAATATTATACATTGAAAAAATGACTGGACAATGCCATGGAACTAAGAGGAAGAAGTCTTCCACCATTGTTCATCAGAGGTTGTTACGACTTGGAGATCTTGATAGTGCTACCAAGAAGCTTGCGGAAGCCAATAAGAATTGTCTCAAGAAACTATTGGAAAAGAAGTAAATACTTTTATAACTTGTTATCAAATAGAATATAATTTTAGTCTTTATATAGACTCAAGGACTTCTACTATTCTAGGAAAGTAAATGATATTGATAAATACTATTATAAGTCACTATCTCTTGGTCTTCCAATTACAATAGACTTTTTACCTTTCCACTAACTTATTAATAGAAATTCATTATTTTAACATTACAGTTTATTCAACAAAACTCCTCTGTAAACTTAAATGTTTCTTTCATCCATCATGCCTATCAATTTCTTGCCTCCGTTGAAAATTTCTTTCGATAATGGTTTTGTGAAAATGTCTGCTTCTTGATCCTTGCTTGCTACATGCCTCAATTCGACACTTCCTTCCTTCACATGTTCTCGAATGAAGTGGAAGCGAACATCAATGTGTTTGCTTCTCTCATGGTTTGCTGGATTCTTTGCCAACTCGATTGCTGATTTGTTGTCCACTTGTATTACAGTTGCGCCTTCTTGTTTTAGCTTCATTTTTCTCATCAATCTTCTAAGTCATACTACATGACAAACGCATTAAGATGTTGCCACATATTCAGCTTCACATGTCGAAAGTGTTACTATTGGTTGCTTTTTAGAAAGTCAAGTAAATGCGGTATTTCCCATGAAGAACACATATCCAGAAATATTTTTTCGATCATCTATATCTCCGCACCAATCACTGTCAGAGTAACCAACTAACTTATAGTCTTTTGTTCTTGAATAGAACATTTCAAATGACACTGTTCCTTGGATGTACCTTAGGATTCGTTTCAATGCCTTCCAATGGGAATGTATTGGCTCATCCATGAATCGACTTACAATGCCGACACTTAATGAAATGTTCGGCCTTGTGCATGTCAGATATCAAAGACTTCCTACCAAGCTTCAATATTTTCTTACTTCGACACGTTCTCCTCCATTAAATTTCAACAATTTTACACCTGGTTCCATTGGCGTCGAAGTTGGATTACAACTTTTCATCTCATATTTTTCCAAGATTTCTTTTGCATATTTTTCTTGTGAAATAAAGATTCCAGTTTCTTCTTGTCGAACCTCCAGACCAAGAAAGAATCTCATCAGACCTAAGTCTGTCATTTTGAATTCGCGTGTCATGGTGCTCTTGAATTCTTCTATCATCTGATCATCACTGCCTAGAAAAATAAGGTCATCGACATAGAGAGCAACAAGTAATATATTACTTCCATTTTTCTTCACATAGAGGGCATGTTCATTACTTACAATTTGTCGATGCGTGCGTTCCATGCCCGCGGTGCTTGCTTCAGCCCATATAGCGCTTTCTTCAATTTCACCACCTTCTTCTCTTCTCCAGTCCTCATATATCCAAGTGGTTGCTCGACATAGACTTCTTCTTCGAGTACACCGTTCAAAAATGATGTCTTGACATCCATTTGAAATATCGACCATTTGAATTGAGCAGCTTGAGAAATGAGCAATCGAATTGTCTCCATTCTTGCAACAGGTGCAAACATTTCGTCATAGTCAATCTCTGCTTTCTGTTTGTATCCCTTCGCAACAAGTCACGCTTTGCATCGTTCTATTTCTCCTTGAGCGTTCATCTTTTTCTTGAATATCCATTTTACACCAATCAGTCGACTACCTTTTGGCAATTCGACTAGCTCCCAAGTGTTGTTTCGGTCTATTGCTCTAATCTATTCGTCCATGGAACTTTTCCACTTCTTGTCTCGTAACGCTTCTTCGAAACTGATGTTTTCAGCATCTTCCAGAAGGCACACAAGGTGTACCTCATTTTTCGAATCATATAAATCTTGTAAATTTCCCATTCTGGGTTGTATAGGTTCATCCTCATTTTCAGTATCTTCATGTTCTATTGAAATGCTTGTTGGTATAGCGACAAATGATTCTTCGACTGCGTTGATAACTTCTGTCGAATTGTTCCAGTCCCACTTGCTCGCTTCGTTTATTTAAACGTCTCTACTTATGATCACTTTCTTGCTTATGGGGTTGAATAGCTTGTACCCTTTTGTCTTCTCATCATATCCAATGAATGTATATTTTTAACTTTTGTCTTCAAGTTTCGTTCTTTGTCGATCTGGTACATGTGCATAAGATACACTACCAAATACTTTGAGATGAGAAATGGTTGGCTTTTGTCCGCTCCATGCTTCTTGTGGTGTTTGATCTTCTAACTTCGAACGTGGACATCGATTCTGAACATAAACAACACATTATATAGCTTCTGCCCAAAATTCTTTCGACATGTTCTTGCTCTTAAGCATTGATCGAATCATGTCAAGAACAGTTCAATTTTTTCATTCAGCCACACCATTTTGCTGAGGTGAATATGGTGCAGTTAGGAATCTCCTTATTCCCTGCTCTTCACAATACTTCATAAAGATCGTCGAAGTGTACTCACCACCTCTATCAGATCAAACTGCTTTGATATGTCTGTCATTTTCCTTCTCCACCATTACTTTAAACTTTTTGAACACCTCTAATGCTTTAGACTTTTCTTTCAAGAAATAAATCCAGCTCTTTCGTGAGAAATCGTCGATAAAGGAAATGAAGTACCTTTTTCCACTGAAGTATTCTGGAGTGATTGACCCACATATGTCGGTATGAATCAATTCGAGAATATGTTTAGCTTGATATTCTTCCTTCTTTTGAAATGAGGTTCTTGTTTGTTTGTTGAGCACACATTCTTCACAAAACTTTCCTTCATAATCTATGTCTGGTAGTCCGTGCACCATGTTCTTTTTCGCCAACCTTATCAAACCAGCATGATGTAGATGACCAAAGCGTAAATTCCATAGTGACGCTTTGTCTTGTATGTAGACTTGTAGACATTTCTCTCGAATGTTCCTCAGATTTTGTTTGTACATTCTCTTTCCATTTTGACTCGGGCGATCAGATGTCCTACTTTGTCCTTCAAAAGCAGTATTCGATCTTTTATAAGTATCGAAAAACCTTTTTTTGTCAGTTGTCCCAAACTCAAGATGTTGGTCTTGAGATTTGGTACATAGTAAACATCTTGGATTGATCCAATCAAGTCATCCTTCTGTAAGTAACAGATTGTACCCTTTCCTTCGACCTTCACTTTCGATGCATCTCCAAAAGACACATTACCATCTTCAATTTTTTTCATTTCTTTAAACAGGTGTTTGTAACCACACATGTGATTACTCGCTCCTGAGTCAAGATACCAAACATGGTCATTATTGGTGTTGATTTAATTTTGAGCCATCAGGAAAAAACCTTCATTCGATTCAGCTTCCAAGGCTAGATTGGTTATTTCTTCTACCTTCTTTTCGATTCGATAATCTTTTGCAAGATGTTCCACGTTATCACAGTTATAGCATTTATAGGAATTGCAATCCGTCGCGTAATGACCATACTTCCCACACTTGTAACATTCGAAGTTGGAGTGGTTCAACTGACCACCTCTTTGACCACGTCCTCTGCCACACCAATTTTTTTGGTTCAAATGTCCTCTCTCAAAGTTGCTGCCTCAACCACTTCAACGACTATCAGGGCCTCCACGACCACGTCCTCTTCCTCAAAAGTTTTGAGAAAAGAGTACTGTTTCGTCTTTGATCGACTCCTTGGTTTGATTTACTTACTCGACTGCTTCTTCCTTCTTTTTCATCTTACGTTGTTCATATGCTTCGAGAGAACCAGCGAGCTCTTCGACTGAGAGCGTCGAAAGGTCCTTCGACTCTTCTATTGCACACACAATATTCTCAAATTTATCTGTTAAAGATCTCAAAATCTTTTCAATAACTCGTGCATCAATTATTGTTTCGTCATTTCTGGTGAGTTGGTTCACCATATTTTGTACACGTGTGATGTAGTCAGGTACAATTTATGTCTCCTTCATATGCATCCTCTCCAATTTGCCATGAAGAGTTTGGATTCGAACTTGCTTCACTCGATCTGCTCCTTTGAACACTTTCTCTAATGTTTCTCATGCTTCTTTCGACGTAGTCGAATCGGCAATCTTTTCGAAGCCTGATTCGTCAACAACCCTGAACAACATGTATAACGTCGTTT